GAAACTTACAATTATTAGTAATGGTGGTTATGAGATCACAGATTATCATAAAAAGATGTCTGGTAAACTAATGTCTTTTAAGGAAGATAATCTGCTCTCCTTACCAGGTCAGGCCTGTACATAACCAACAGCCAGATGGTTAACACTTACCATCCCTCTGAAATACCATCCCTATGAAATGGACTAAAAAACTGCTCAGTTGTTACAGGGATGGGCAAAAAATGCTGGCCCTCTCAGTAATCTTCAAATCTTGCTAATGTATAAAAAAAGTGAGAATAGGGATTGGGAGAATGTTGGACTATATTTCAGTCTGTACTTTTCAGTCAGATCCCACCTCATCCTTCTAAACACCATCAAGTACAGATATACTCATGCTCTACAAAATCTTACAGTTTCTTCCTGAAGTTGTTGTACATCTGAGTTTAAACAGGTTCAAAAAACCACTTCAGTATCATATCCAAATATTTCTGGTCTGGGACTATCACCAACTCCCTACTCTAAGATAATCAAGTGGTATTAAATCCTTCAGACACAAAATAAAACCCGTATGTCACTACTTCAAAATTGAAAGGATATTAAAAATACATATAAATCATGCACAGTGAATTCAATATTTATATTCAGTTCATGGGACTGTGCTATGCACAGATTGCTGATGAGTTTGACAACCTTGCAACATGGACAGCCTTCCTAATATGTTTTGTTGTATGAAGTGCTTTAGGATGTGTTGAAGGTTCTGTACGGTTTAGTTTCTTTCTATCATTTAGCCTTACTCAACTGCCCTGCAATGATGATCATTTAATAATCCCAGCAGAATAGATGTTTCTTTTACAAAACAAAATGCTGTTTTAAGGGGTGAATCAACATCACATCAACTGTCTATGATACAATGCCCTTTCAAAATGTGGAAGTACAGTCCAAAGTTCTCCCAATCCCTATTCTCACTTTTGTTTATATACTTACAAGATCTGAAGATTACTGATAGGGATGGGCAATAAATGCTGGCCCGATACAACTGAGCAGGTTGTTAGTCCATTTCTGAGTGGTGGTAAGAGTAACTAATATCTTGCTGCTAGTTACATACAGGCCAGACCTGGTAAGGAGAGCAGATTATCTTCCTTAAAAGACATTAGTTTACCAGACATCTTTTTATGATAATCTGTGATCTCATAACCACCGTTACTGATAATTGTAAGTTTCCCAGCTGCTTGGTGAAATTTAAAATTGTGTTATGAGATCACTAGTACTGGAATATTAGTTCAATAGGATAACTGACACCCTATAAATTGATTCTTGAGAGTATTGATACATTGTTTTTCTGTATTTATAAATGTTTCTGCCAACGTTGCAATAGTCTCTACCTTTCAAGTGTACTTCATTGTCTTAACACCGTTTGGGGCATTCTGTGGTCATGAACGGCACTATATCAATGCTCGTCTTCCTTTGTACTCCACTTCAATCCAAACTAAATAACCATTTATTTGCTGAAACTATGCCTTGCATTGTCCTCATGAATGGGATCATGTCCCTACTCACTTTCTTGTGTCAACAAAACAAAAACTGCTGGCAAAACTCAGCAGGTCTGGTGGTGGAGAGAAAAAGAATGATGATGCGTGAATGGACTTGAAATGTTAACACTGTTTCTTCCCACAGATGCTTCCAGACCTGCTGAGTTGCACCAGCAATTTCTGCTTTTGTTTCAGATAGAGTCATAGAGTTGTATAGCATGGAAAATGACCCTTCGGTCGAACTCATCCATGCTGACCAGATATCCTAAATTACAGGTATTTGGCCTATATCCCTCTAAACCCTTCCTATTCATATACCCATCCAGATGCCTTTTAAATGTTGTAATTGTACCAGCCTCCACCACTTCCTCTGGCAATTTATTCCATACACGCACCACCTTCTGTGTGAAAACATTTCCCTTTAGATCCCTTTTAAATCTTTCCCCTCTCACCTTAAATCTATGCCCTCTAGTTTTGGACTCCCTAACCCTGAGAAATAAACCTTGACTATTTACCCTATCCATGCCCCTCAAGATTTTATAACCCTCTATAAGGTCACCCCTCAGCCCCTGACACTCCAGGGAAAATAGCCTATTCAGCCTCTCCCTATAGCTCAAACCCTCCAACCCTGGCAACATCCTCTCCAGCAACCAGAGTTTTTTTGTTTTATGTTATTCACTTTCTTGTGAAAAGTGTAAAGTTTCTTATGATTAACGGTACAAAAGTTCGCATGAAGACAGTGGAGCAATGTAAATTTAGTTTCTGTATTGTTTGTGTATGATCCTGTGTAACCAAGAGGGACTAGTGGTCTGGTAGGCAATTGCAAGGAGTGGTGCTGAGTCTCCTCCCCTATTGATAACAACCATGTCTGGGGAATACCCTTGTGAGAGGAAAAATGAATAACAGCTGATGTCTTCATTCAAAATGCAACCGAAACTTCACATTCTCTAAACTCTATTTCCCTGTTATTTTTCCTTTTGGTCTCTCAAGATCGCGCAGACTTGGATACGGTGGACGTGAGAAGGTGTTTCCACTAGTAGCAGAGAATAGGACCTGAGGTCACAGCCTCAGACTGAAGGGACGCCCGCTTAGAACTGAGATGAGGAGGAATTTCTTCAGCCAGAGGGTGGTGAATCTGTGGAACTCATTCCTGTGGAGAGCTGTGGAGGCCAAGACAGAGATATGAAGACAGAGATAAATAGGTCCTTGATTATTAAGGGGATCAAGGTTTACAGAGGGGAGGCAGGAGAATGGGTTTGAGAGACATATCAGCCATCATCGAATGGCAGACCAGACTCAAACTAATTCATATAACCAAACCAAATCAGATGGCTTCAGACTATATTGTGGATCTTCAAGGTGATCTTGGGGGGATGGGAGCAAACAGATATTTTCATACAGTTTTACCCTGGATCAGTGGTCTGTATCCTCCTTGAGAGATTCAGTGAGCTATGATATGATTGCATATAGATTCAGTGCATAAAAAGGGCTGTTCCCTCAAGTCCATGGGTGAGATTTTAACTCATTCAAAACCCATCCACTGACACAGAGTTAAAATCATGCCCCAACAACTTCTCTCCCAGACCGAGGGTTGATCGCCAGCATTTGGCCACCTTTTAAATCAAACTTCTCTGCAGCTCTTAGTCATATGTCAACACAAAGGAGACTCTCATTCAGAGAAAACCGACGTGGAGGAAGCCCTTGAATGAAGGGACACAATTCTTTGAGAACACCCGTTGGCAGGAGGAAAAGGATTCAGAGAAAGATGTGTTAGTGATTTTAAGGTCAAGGGCTACTTCCCAGAAACACCTGCCAAACGTGTGGTTGAAGATGTGGCTCCAGGATCCGGTTTATCAGTCAAACAAGGACCCACAGAATCCAGGACCAGTGACACAGAATTTCCTAGGTGGGCAATCTTATTCATTAGCAATTGGGGTGACACGTTGGCTCAGTGGTTAGCACTGCTGCCTCACAGCGCCAGGGACCTGGGTTCAATCCCAGCGTCAGGTGACTGTCTGTGTGGAGTTTACACATTCTCCCCGTGTCTGCATCGGTTTCCTCCCACAGTCCAAAGATGTGCAGGTTAGGATGGATCAGCCATGCTAAATTGCCCCATTGTGTTCAGGGATGTGCAGGCTGGGTGGATTAGCCATGGAAACTGCAGGGTTATAGGGAAGGGGAGATGGGTCTGGGTGGGATGCCCTTCAGAGGCTTGGTATGGCCTGCTTCCACACTGTAGGGATTCTATGATTGCCAATGATGATTTTTTTTTTATAAACATTGTGCTGAATATTAAGAGGTGGGCCTTGGCAGGGTGGTGCTGACTGCTCAGTCCCTCCCACCTATCCCTGACTAAGAAGCTGGTCAAAGATCAATCAGTGAAGAACATTAATGCAGGCAACATTAACAGGCTGAAAATAGGAACTCTGCCCCTCACCTGGAAAGGCATACCACACCCTGGAGCTGCCAACAACTCCAGAGCTCACTAGTTGACACTGCCAGGCAGGCCAAGGCAGATGGATCCTAAAGGGTGGTAAGTCTGGGGTGGAGGCAAATGGGCAGGGACAGGGATGCCCACTCTGGGGAGTGGTGGGAGGAGGGAGGGTGGGTTTTGATGTATAGGCAGGGGAGTTCTGTGGGTCCTTGTTTGGCTGATAAACCGGATCCTGGAGCCACATCTTCAACCACACGTTTGGCAGGTGCTTCTGGGAAGTGGCCCTTGACCTTAAAATCACTAACACACCTTTCTCTGATTCCTTTTCCTCCTGCCAACGGGTGTTCTCAAAGAATAGGGAGGGGCAATGTTTCTATCTTCTTGGAGGAGGCACACTCAATGATCAAAGGGCACACCTTCTATCCACCCACCTATTCCAAACTTTGAAAAGAAAGTATTGCCCATTGCTGACCAGCTGCCTTCACACTGACTGTTTGATGGTATGGGCAAGATTAGTATCATATTGAATAGCACAGCAGGCTTGAAGGGCCAAATGGCCTACTCACATACATATTTTCTGTATTTGCATGTTGAGTGTTTATCTTAGCTTGCTTGTCCATCCTTTAGACTCAATCAAGCTCTTGACAAGATAGATTTACCAAATCATTTATTCAGTGTCCATTCTGTGGGGGATGAGTTTGCGGTGGGAGGAGAGGGCATTGTTGGAAGGCAATTGGCTGAGCACCCATCCCATTTTATATGTGACCCATCCGAAAATACACCCTGCAGGAGCATGTCAGATCCAGCCCATAATATCCTCTTTACCAACTCACCCCACCCCCGTCCCAACACTTTTACTGCAGACTGAGACACCAGGTTTCCTAACAAATCCGTTATCATTTGTTATAACACAGTGTGGAGCTGGAGGAACACAGCAGGCCAGGCAGAAAAATTTTTCTGAAGAAGGTTCCCGACCCGAAACGTCAGCTTTCCTGCTCCTCTGATGCTGCCTGGCCTGCTGTGTTCCTCCAGCTCCACACTGTGTTATCTCAGGCTCCAGCATCCGTGGTTCTTACTATCTCATTATCATTTGTTTATTGCTTTCACAAACGCGCCACAGTTGCATATTCCCAAGACAATGAGGCTAAACTTTTAAATGATCCAGAGTGAATTAAGCTGCAAGTGGCTGTTTCATTACGAGTAAACTGACCCTTGATGCCAAAATCAGCATCAAGAATGTGAAGGCTGCAGTTTTCATGTTAAAGTTCAGAAGCCAAGTATGGACCAACAGCAAATCCAAAGTTTTGTGTGTACCAGGTTTGTGCATGTACCCTCCTTTGCAGGAGTGACCCATAGACAAGCAAACCAAGAAAAGCACTAAACAACAGAAGCTTAGAAAATAATAGCAGTAGTAGGCCATTTGGCCCTTTCAGCCTGTTCCATCATTCAATATGATCATTGCTGATCACCCAACTCAGAACTCTACTCCAGCTTTCACTCCATCCCGTTTGATCCCTTTGGCTCCAAGAGCTATATCTAACTCTTTCTTGAAAACATTCAGTGTTTAGCTCAACCACTTGGTGTAGCACAACTCACTTGCTGAAGAAATTTCTCCACAGCTCAGTTGTAAATGGCCTACCTTGTATCCTTAGACTGTGATCCTGGGCTCTGGCCTCCCTGATTATTAGGAACATCCTCCCTGCATCCACCCTGTTAGAATTTTATTGGTTTCTATTAGATGCTCTTCTGCTTCCACTTTCAACAGCTTTTCACCTCTAGGGCTGCCTTGGACATCTCTTGGAAGGATAGAGTGCTGAGTATGGCCATGGACCTGTGTGCAGGGATTGCAAGCATGCATGCCCTTAGTCAGCAGTAACTCTATTAGCTGTGTAACATGCACCAAATAGAGGGCAGCCATATGTCCAATGACTTGCTCTTTGGCGATCTTGCTGCCAACATAAAAGTGACAGGTCGCCCATGTCTCTCTGCAAGCGAGACCTCAGATTGACCAGGATTAATGCACAGGGTCTCCTCACTGCTGACCCGGGTGTCTGGAGTCAAACAGGCGGGAGAGAGGTTGGAAAAAGCACAGAGGAAAAGAAATATTTTAAATTAAATCAACTAATTCACTCGTGGGACATGGGCATTGCTGGCTGGCCAGCATTTATTGCCCGTCCCTAGTTGCCTTTGAACTGAGTGGCTTGTTAGGCTATTTTAGAGGGCAGATGAGAGTCAACCACATTGCTGTGGGTCTGGAGTCACATGTAGGCTGGACCAGGTGAGGATGGCAGTTTCCTTCCCTGAAGGATATTAGTGAACGAGATGGGTTTTCCCAAAAATCAACAATGGTCATCATTAGACTCCTAATTCCAGATAATTATTGAATTCAAATTCCACTTTCTGCCGTGGCAGGATTCAAACCCAGGTCCCCAGAATGTTACCTGAGTTTCTGGATTAATAGTCTAGCGATAATATCACTCGGTCATCATCTCCCTCATTGACCACACCATGGAAAAATACTTTGCTTCTTGTCTTCATTATACAGCGTACAAAACATATTCCAATAATAACTGTAAATTAGGAGGTGGAAGGGGGAGGTGGACTTGGTGTCATTACAATCACCAAGGAAGCAATTTTAATAAATTGATAGAACTGAATACTGATAAGTCCCTGGGTCCTGATGGACTTCATCCTATGTTCTTAAATGAGCTGGCTAATGAGACAATTGATACACTGATGTTCATTTTCCAAAATTCCTTAGATTTCAGAAAGCTTCCATCAGACTGAAAAGTAGCAAATGTAACTAATTTCTTCAAGAAGTAAGTGAGGCTGAAAACAGGAAACTATAGGCCTGTTAGCTTGTCTGTTGTGGGAAAGGTGTTAGATTTGATTATTATGGAGATTACAAAAGGGTATTTTGAAAAATCTCAAGGTAATCAGGAAGAGTCAGCATGGTTTTGTGAAAGGGAAATCATGTTTAAGCAACTTATTGGAATTCTTTGAAGGAGTAAACTATATTGTGCATTGAAGAGAGCCTGGAAATGTACTGTACTTGGATTTCCAGGTGAGATTTAACAAGGTGACACCTAAAAGATAAATGTACAAAATAGAAATTTGTTGTGTATGCAGGAACATATCAGCAAGGATAGAAGACTGGCTGGCTGGCAGAAAACTGAACATGCTTAAATAGGTCATTTTCTGATTGAATTGACAGGGTATAACTAGTGGAGTCCTGCTGAGGTCTATGTTGGAGCCTCAAGTTTTTACAATTTATACCAATGACTTAGATGATGGGACTGAAGACATGGGAGCTACATTTGCAGATGACACCGGGATGGGTCAACGGGATGGGTCAACAGTGTGGTGTCAAGCAGACTTCAGGAGGTTACAGACACATAGATAGGTTGAGTGATTGGGAAATCTGGCAGATGGAGTAAAGGTGGGAAAATGTGAAGTTATTCACTTTGGCAGGAAGAATAAAAAAAGTGTTAATTAAACAGAGAACAGCTTCAGAATTCCAAGGTGCAGAGAGATCAAAGTGTTATTGTCCATCTGGATGAATGCAGCTCCAACAACTCTCAAAAAATTTGACAGTGTCCACAACAAAGCAGCCCACTTGATTGGCGCAACATCCACAGTCACTCCCTCTACCACCAACGCACAGTAGCAGCAGTGTGTACTGTCTACAAGATACATTCAGAAATTTGTCAGATGTCCTTAAGCCACCACCTTCTAAACCCACGATCACTTCCATCTCGAAGGACAAGGGCAGCAGATAAATGGGAACACCACCATCTGCAAGCTCTCCTCCAAGCCATTCAACATCCTGACTTGGAAATATGTCACCATTCTTTCAGTATCACTGGGATAAAACTTTGGAATTTCCAGCCTAACAGAATTGTGGGTAAATCTGTAGCAATTGGATTGCAGTGGTTCAAGGAAGCAGCTCCCCCCACCTTCTCAAGGGCAACTAGGGATAGACAGTAAATATTGGCCAAGCCAGCAATGCCTGTGTCCCACAAGTAAATAAAAAGTGACAAAAATTTCATATATAGATACAGTAGGTAATTGAGAAGGGTAATGGGTGGTTTCCTTTATTGTGACAGGAACTGAACATAAAAGCAAGGAAGTTATGCTGCAGGAAATTGGTATGACCATTCTCAAATCCTATGTTGAGTTTTGGCTTCCTTATCTAAGGACAGCCACAAATGTATTGGAGACTGTACACAGCAGGTTCACTGATGGATACCTGGAATGAGTGCATTGTCTTATGAGGAAAGGTTGGGCTCGTTTCCATTGGAGTTTCGAAGAGTGAGGTTGACCTGATGGAAGTAAACAAGGTCCTGAATGGTCTTGACAAGGTGGCTATGGAAAGACTGCTTCTTCAGGTGGGTGAACCCAGAACTAAGAAGTGCTGTTTTAAAAAAAAAATTAGGCTTCGTCCTTTTATATTGGAGATAAGGAGAATTTTTTTTCTCTCAGAGTTGTGTGACTTTGGAACTCTCTACCTCAGATGGCAAGCCATTGAATATTTTTCAGGTGGAGGTAAATACACTGTTAGGCAGGAGAATCAGTTATTGGAGTGGGGGGTGTGTGGTAGTGGTGGTGGTCATAGATGGGAACGTGGAAGTTGAACTGCAAAGAGATTAGCCACACTCTTATTCAGTAGCAGAACAGGTTTGAGAGACCAAATAGCCTCCTCCTGCTCCTTATTTTAATCTTTGTATGTCAAAGGACAGCTAGGAAAAGTGAATGGGAACGTTGTATTGGTGCAATACAGATATTCTTCCCAGTTCCAGGATGAAAAGCACTAACAAAAAGACAGGGAACTCTTTTGACGTTCAGTTCAAGAAAACCGGAAGTGTTCGAGATGGGGCATCAGGACAGTGAAAACATACTTGGGGTAAAATTGTTTTTGGCGAGGGATGGGGAGGGGGAGTGGTGGGGTCATGAAACAGAGTAGTAATGTCCTGCTGCCAGTTATACATCCCATCAGTTATTCAGTTTCATTAACTACAATGTACTGAGGTGTTACACATAGACAGCAGGTGTGAAGCCATCTGTCTTAATGACTTACCAAAGTTAAATATACATAGAATGATGTGGTATTTACAGCACATTAACAGGCTATTATGTTATGGCAGGATGTTATGCCCAAGTCTTGGGCTCCATTTTGACCTTCTTCCAACCTATTTCATCTAGCCCTATCTGCTATTCTTTGCTCACTCATGCATTTATCTAGCTTCTCCTGAAATGCAACTATGGCTCTCGCCTGGTGTTTGTGAAATCCACATTTTTACTATGCTTTGGGTGGAGATGTTTCCACTGCCAAGAAGAACAAAGACAGGTGCCAGATGGGAATGCCACCCCCTGCACATTCCACTCCACTCCACTCTCACACTGTGACTTGGAAATATCTCAATGCTCCTTCGGTGTCGCTGAGTCAGAATCTGGAACTCCCACCCGAATAGCACTGTGTGGTGACACCACACAGACTGCAGTGATTCAAGGAGGCTTACCACCACATTCCTAGGGATGAGCAGGAAATATTGCCAGTGATGTTCATATTCCGGGAATAAATTTTGTTAAAAAAAAGGTTCAAAAGTTTTTTTTTTAGAAAAGTTTGCTTCGCACCAGCTCCTCACAGCTTATTAAAAGACCGCCATCCCTGAGTAACTGGACCAATTGTGTCTCAATGTAAAGTCATTGTAACTGTGTTTCAGCATAAAGTAACTGAGTGTAACTGGCAAGTGGAGACTGTGAGTGGAATACTTCAAATGTTCCTTTTAGGAGCCACTTGCCATATGTTTAAACATGTAAAGTTGGCAATATGCCATAGAGTACTTAAACCCAAAACTTGTTGTAAGAAATCAACAAAACATTAAGAAATAGGAACAGGAGTAGGCCATTCAGCCCGTCAAGCCTGCTCTGTAATTCAATAGGATCATGGCTGATCCAACATTCCTCACATCCACTTTCCTGCACTTTCACCGTGACCCTTTATTCCCCAACTCATCAAGAATCTATCAGAGCCTTAAATATACACAAGGACTCTTCCCCCATAGCTAAAGCCTGAGAGAAAACCTGTTCAAGAGGAACTTACATTTAATGTACCTGTAACTGGTGAGTCACAGATAGAAAAATGTTGTCACTGAACTGCATCATTGCATGGCAGCTCTGGTGTAGGTGGTAGTCTTTTAGCCTCTGCAGCAGGACATTGTGGACTTCAGTCCTATCCCAGGGATTTCAGTGTTGACATTAAAACCTATGCTGGGTCAGACTGCTTCATTATTGGATGCCTTACCCTTCAGATGAATTGTTAAACCAGGGTCCTGTCATGTACAAGATCCTGTGGTATTCTTTTTTTCTGTAGAGTAACTAGGGAGTTCTACTCAGTCTCCGAGCCCAATCATCATCCATTAACCAATATCACTCACAGCAGAATATCTAGGCATAAGATAACAAGGTGTAGAGCTGGAGGAACACAGCAGGCCAGGCAGCATCAGAGGAACAGGAAAGCTGATGTTTCGGGTCTGGATCCTTTTTCAGAAATGGACCTTCTTCTGAAGAAGGGTCAAGAGCCGAAACGTCAGCTTTCCTGCTCCTCTGATACTGCCTAGCCTGCTCTGTTCCTCCAGCTCCACACTGTGTTATCTCAGACTCCAGCATCGGCAGTTCCTACTATCTCCGAGAATATCCAGGCATTTTGGTTTTGGTAGCAGCTGTTGGTGGCAGTTACATTTCCTGTAATGCAACTGTGACTACATCTCGAAAGTACTCATCAGTTGTAAAGAGCTTTAGGACATCTCACGTTCATGAAAGTTGCCATATAAATACCAGTCTTTCTTGCTATCAAAACTATAGAGAGTACAGACTGTTTTTAAAGACAGTTGCTCTCCTTCAAAACCTCTCCTAGTGTTATTAATCTTCATTTTCAGTGATATCTTGAGTTATTTTCAGTTTCTGTAGAGAGGGTGCAGAGGAGATTTATAAGGATGTTACCTGGCCTGGACGGTCTGACTGATTAGGAAAGGTCAGATAGACTGGGGTTTTGGCCCAAAACATTGACTTTCCTTGGAATGTTATCCTTGGATGTTATCTGACTGCTGTGCTTTTCCAGCTCCGCATTTATTGACTCTAGCTTCCAGCATCTGCAGTCCTTACTGTCTCCAATTCCTACCCTCCAACTTGCTCTTGTAGCCAATGTATTTATATGGTAAATCCAGTTTGGTTTCTGGTCAATGGTAACCCCCAGGATGTTGATGGTTGGGGACTCAGAGATGGTAACACCATCAATTATCAAGGCCCAGTGGTTAGATTGTCTCTTATTGACCATGGTCATAGCCTCGCATTTGTATGGCATTATTACCTGCCACTTTTCAGCCCAAATGTGGATATGATCCAGGTCTTAGTGCATTTGGACATGGACTGTGTCTGCATCTGAGGAATTGCGAATGGTGCTGGACATTGCACAATCATCAGCGAATATCCCCACTTCTGACCTTATGATGGAGGGAAGGTCAATGATAAAGCAGCTGAAGATGATTGGGCCTAGGGCACTACCCTGAGGAACTCTGCAGAGATGTCCTGGAGCTGGGAATACTGACCACCAACAACCGCAACCATCTTCCTGTGTGCCAGGCCAGCCCAGCGTATGCCCCCGATTCCCATTGATTCCAGTTTTGTTTGGACTCTTTCATGCCACACTTGGTCAAATTCGACCTTGATGTCAAGGGCTATCACTCTGACCTCACCTTTGGAATTCACTCTTTTCTTCATGTTTGAGCCAAGGCTGTAATGAGGTCAGGAGCTGAGTAGTCCTGGCATCTCCAACTCTTGGTCCAAGGCCCTTGAATAAATAACGAAATACTGCTCAAATATTACACATTTTTGACTCAATCACGCTTTCAGACAATGAGTTCCAAACTCCCAACATCCTCTAGGGTAAAAACATTTTGACCGAATTCCCCTCTTAGCCTTCTGCTGACCTTAATTATATATCCATTGGTTATTGACCTCTCTACTAATGGAAGTGACCAGATAGACTCTTCTTTTAAATTATACAATTCATAGAATCCCTACAGTGTGGAAACAGGCCCTTTGGCCCAACATGTCCACATTGACCCTCAGAGCATCCCACCCAGACCCGTTCCCCTATAACCCACCTAATTTACACACCCCTGGACACTACAGGCAATTTAGCATGGTCAATCCACCTAGCCTGCACATCTTTGGACTGTGGGAGGAAACCGGAACACCCTGAGGAAACCCACGCAGACACAGGGAGAATGTGCAAACCCCACACAGAGAGTTGCCAGAGAGTGGAATTGAACCTGGGTCCCTGACACTGTGAGGCAGCAGTGCTAACCACTGAGCCACCATGTTGCCCCTTACAACCAATGCCCTGCTAGGCACGGGTGGGACCGAACCCACAATCTTCAGTCTATGAGACCAATGCCTTCCCACTTGGCCACCGCACCCTAATTATTACTGACTGAGCAATAGATGTTCTTAGGGCTCCAGGGCTAAATACTCTAGGATTCTTTGAAATAGTACCATGCGGTCTCCCACACTCATTTGAGAGAGTCCTGGTTTAATGTCTCATTTGAAAGACAGAAACCCCAAGTTTGCAACAGCCCCTTGGTACTGCAGGCTGAGTGTCAATCAAGAATTCGGTCTCAGGTCTCTGATCTCTGAGAAGATCCCACATCAAAGTGACGCGCCAAGTCAATTTTGATGCAAGAATGGGAGAACGGTGCATGTGACCATTTAAAGGATTTGGAAAGGAGTCACACAGTATGTATTCAAGTAGTCCACAATCAACATACACATAAAACAAAGTAAGCTGATTGAGGTTTCTAAAATTAGAAAAGGGTTCAATTGGGACAATTTGACAAAACTTCAGAAAATGCTGGAAACACTCAGTGTGCCAAACTGTATCAATAGGGAGAGAAACAGAGTCAACCTTTCTGCTTTCTTTTGAAATCTGCAGCATTCACAATCAATTCCTCTTGAATCAGTGTTTAATTTGATGACCCATTACCTTCATTTTGGCAACAGAAGCAAAATAAGACAATAAATCACAGCAGTGTAAAACATTTACTGCCCTCTCATATTCCTTTCTCTTCCAACTGGGAAAATGCCAGTGGTCACACTGAACATGACTTCCAAGAAATGGTGTAGCTATCTATATATGCAACCATACAATAATCTGACTCAATTCAGTCTGATGTCTCTCAGTTTTCTGTGCGTGTGAAGTGAGTTTTGTTCCTGCTGCCAATTCACTGTGTTGAAAAATATTAACAGATGGTAAACACATTGGAGCAAATAGCCCAAAAGTGACTCTTTGGTGTGATAGGATCTCAACAGGAGTTGATAATATTAAGAGTTTTATATGCAATAACGTTTTTTTTCTTAACTGTACCCCTTGTTATTTCGAGATAAGTTCAAAAACTAAAGGAGTCCTCAGCTCTTCACAGGATATTGCCACCTAAAGCCTACAGCCCCTTGTTGAAATAGACATATTTCACTTTGTCTCCATACTTTGCAGTTATTGAATCTCTCAGCTCTGGCTCCAATTTAGAAACTTTCATAGAACTGTAGAAAAATAGAGAGAGAGAGAGAGAGAGAGAGAGTCAACCTTTCAGAATACAGCAGTGTACCTACAACAAGAATTAGAATTAAAAGTATCTTTGTCCAGGTAACAGTTTAGCACTACAACTAAATAATCATCCGTGATTCAGTCAGAAATGAACATTTCAGTCCTGACCTGGAAGTGACCCTCTTGGTCGCCCTCTCTACAAGAGATGGAAACACAGCTCAGTATCACCCCCTTTCCAGGCGCTGGATGCACAGCTGTATATCCCGCAGTAGGGACTGGTAGGAATGAGTGATGGTTTCAAGTTAATTCAGGGATAATGGGTGAGAACAGGCATGTATTTCAGGGAGAGCAAGTGATCAGAGTCGTTGGAAGTTTGTGATGTGCAAGTCGAAATTAAACTCTGACTAGAAATATATATGCCTGGATTTGTCAAACCAATCTTTGACCTTTGGTATCTATCTTCCTCCCTTTGGACGAACACAGACATGCATGCAAACACATGGCATGTTCCATATCCCTGTCTGCTACACTCCACGTTCAGGAAACTGCTCAGGCATCAGCTCCTGTAGTCATTCAGAAAGTGAGCACCCCACTCGATCGATACCATTCTCCGAAACTGAAGGGTGGGCCAGCTGGCTTACAAAGACAGAGGACATTCACATTGTCCTGCCTACTGTGGGGTATGCTTTAAGTCAAGTGTAACTTACTGAATCATTAGGAAGACATTTGATATTATGAAATGAACATATCTGCCCACTTATGAACATCTGACCGATATCCTTTCCACAAGTTACAGCCACTGGGACTGAAATTCTGATGGGAATCTGCTACCCGGCCCAATATAAAAACAGAGGTGTTTCTGCCCACATCTCTAGCTCCAATTCTTTTCATGATGTTCCTTGCCTCCATCTATCAGTCTGATGTTAATTTCAAGCAGAGAGATACTTTTGGAAGCCAAATTCAGTGCAGGCTCTTGTGTTATTTCTGCCTGTTCAGTGGGTGGTATTAAATTCCAGTAATTCAGTACGAGAGATTTTTTTCATACATCAATTTTAACAAACCCTGGAGTTTGAAACAACTCTCGAGCGCTAACCATCCAGAATGTTAAATGTTCACTCACCACCTCTGAGGGAAAAGAGAACATGCAGCGGGAACCATAAAGATCAAGCTGTGGGAAAATAAAACAAAATGATATCTGTTCTTGTCTTTCTAAAAACATGGGTTTCAGCATAAAAGGTATGAAGCAGAAACATTTAAATGCTTGTAAAACATATTAGGTACAATATAAAAAATATATACACACAAGGCCACAATGACGCTTTCTGCAGAAAGGTTCAGGTGATTTTCTTAATTCATATACGGGCCCGTATTTATAACCCACCCCTAACTGCCCTTGAGAAGATGATGGTGAGATGCCTTCTTGAACAGCTGCAGTCCTTGGGATGTAGATACACCAGAACTGCTATTAGAAAGGGATTTCCAGGAATTTTGACCTTGCGACAGCAAAGAAATGGGGAGATGGTTGAAAGTCAGAATATGGTGTGACTTGGAGGGGAACTTGCAGGGGCAGTGATCCCATGAGTCTGCTGCCCTTGTCCCTCTGGGTGGTAGATATCACTGGTTTGGAAGGTGCAGGCAAAGGAAGTTTGGCACATCACTGCAGTGCATTTTATACGACATTTTGAGTACAGATACGACTAACACTATCTTCCAAATATAACATGAGACAGTTCTCTTTTAAAGGGAAGTTCCGAAACAGAGTCATACCAGACTTGAAACATTAACTCTGTTTCTCGCTCCACAAATGCTGCCAGACCTGCTGAGTTTCTCCAACATTCTGTGTTTATTTCAGATTCCCAGCATCTGCAGTATCTTTGTTCAACGACAAAAATCTTGATGGTTACATTACATGTGTCAGCCAGGAGAGAGGGTGGATGGAGAGCATTCATTTCACAATTGGTAGATTTTTCGTGGGCAGGGGAGATGGAATTGAGAGAGACACACAAGGAGTTTAGGTACAGTGCAGTAGTGAGCTGCCAGAATGGCAAACAAGTTTGAGAGAATGATTGCTTGATACCCATTCTATATCCCTAGGCTCACACATCATTTGTGTTAGGATAACAAAGGTGCATGCTTGGAAGTGTCCTCCAGAAAGACCACAACTTGCTTAGGACAGGATTGTAAAGACAGAAATAGAAGAAAAAAAAGTGTTCGGAGAAACATATAGACAATTTATAAAGTCAATGCAAAGAATCACCACAATTTTGATGTGTAAGGCAATGTTGCTGAATTATATTTAGACAAGGCAAGAAAATTACCATAAAGGTTGCTGAACTGTCTTTAAATAAACTAACTGGCTTGTTTTAACAGCCTCAGCTGGGTGTGCTACCTGTAGCTCAGTGGGTAGCACGATTGCCTCTCAGGAGAGGAGCAGGAGATGTAAGGACTCTGTGACCCAGGGAGTCAATGTCACTGAAAGAAGTGGTTGAGGTGAGGATAGGAAGTCAGTGAGTTCCCAACCGCAGAGTGGTGACACCATGAGTTTGGTGACAGGAAGTGGTCAGCAAGTAGCTTCCTCTATACCCTGTGGGAAAAGGAGAGAGTGGATTCAGTTGCGTGGCTCCCTGAGCAGACTGCCAAAGTAATTTGGCCGAATACCTCACCACCAGAACTTTCTAACAAGCACCAGGCCATCGCTTGGCTGGTGGTGAGAAGGGCACTACCTGTGAGATTCTTTATGTACGCACCACTGCATGCTACACTCCAAGTGGCTGTGGGGGGTTGAGACTGTCACACATCTCCTTCTGGAATGTGCCTTCGCAAAAGGAAGTCTGGAGGAAAATGCAGGGGTTTTTGTCAAGGTTTGTCTAAAGCAGATCCGTGACACGAGACTCTATTCTCTGTAGTCTGTTCCTCGGGTCGCACACCGTGACAAACATCAACTGCACCTGGAGGACCATCAACTCAGTGAAAGATGGCTGTTTGGTCTGCCTGAAACTTGTTGGTCTTCCAAAACAAGAAGTTGACCCCAACTGAGTGCTGCAGACTAGCACATTCCATGGTCCAGAACGACATGCAGAGGGACGCACTAAACCAAGGTGCAGTGAGGAAAGACCACTGTCTGAGGTCTTTCTGCTGAAGGTAAATGGGGGTCTGTTCAGTTATCAGACCCTCCTAGTGCCTCAAATATATGTAAATGTTAGTTTTGTGTAAGAGAGTCTTTGGTTTTTTTTTGGAATAGAGTCAAAGTTCAACGTTTGTTTGTTTGCTTGATATGCAACTGTACAATACTGAACTGCTTTTGTGTCAATGTATATATACAGAGCATTTTTAATGAAAAAAATATATTTTTGAAATTAAAAATAAAGAGATCTAATGTTTAAGAGTCAATCTTGTGTGAAATCTAGGACTGCTTGCCTGCGATTTAGCATTTTACTTGAAGTTACTGCTTTGAGTCACTTACCTTCCGGGGGGAAAAGGAGTTGGACTTGTGGGGAAATCCTGTCCTTGGCTACTCGGCTGAGTTTGAAAAGAGCGTGAGAGCGAGGAAAGTCATGAATTGATTGTTGTCAGGGACTGTGTTTCAACTCCAGTAATTGTGAAAATTTTCTAAACTAGCATAAGAAAGAATTTATAGGCACAGGAGAGAGAGTAAGAGCAAAGTATCGTCAGTAAGAGCAAAGAATTTCCACATTTTGCTAGTCTACAGTTTAGAGTTAATAGCACAAGAAACTTAACCAAAATTTAAGCCAAGTAGGAAAATTATTTAAGAATAACTTGAGACATGGCAGGAGAGCTCAGTCCCATGTGTTCCACAGCTTGCAGTGTGGGGGAAGTCTTAGATGCTCCTGGCATTATCTGCAGATGACCGTGTCTGCAGAAAGCACCACTAGTTTGACCACTTGAACATCAGGCTTTGGACCTTGAGCATTGGCTAGAGGCACTTCAATGCATCCATGAGACTGAGTTATGGGAAAACCATGTTTTTACACATGGTCATCCCTCACACTTTCAGGAAGTGCATTCGGGGAGCAAACAGGTGACCACCAATCAGAAGGGAGGCAGGTAGGTAGGTAGTCAGCAAAGCCCTAGAGTGCATCTCACTCCAGAACAGTTATTGTGTTAGAAAACGCTGAGAGTAAAATTTACTCTGGAGAGTGTTCAGCTGTTCGAGGAGGGAGGAGAAGGAAAGGAAGAACAATAGTGATAAGAGACTCAGTAATAAAGGGTGCAGACAGGCATTTCTGCAAAGACAGATTTAACGCCAGGACGGTGTATTGCCTAGGGCAAAAACATAACTGGGGCGGCACGGTGGCTCAGTGGTTAGCACTGCTGCCTCACAGCGCCAGGGACCCGGGTTCGATTACCCCCTCGGGTGACTGTCTGTGTGGAGTTTGCACAGTCTTCCCGTATCTGCGTGGGTTTCCTCCCACAATCCAAAGATGGGCAGGCTAAGTGGATTGGCCATGCTAAACTGCCCATAGTGTTCAGGGATGTGTAGATTAGGTGGGTTATAGGGGGATGGGTCTGGGTGGGATGCTTGGAGGGTCGGTGTGGACTTATTGGGCCGAAGGGCCTGTTTCTATACTGTAGGGATTCTATGATGATAACTGAACAGCTATAGAGCGTTCTGAAGGGAGGGAGCGAACAGTCAGAGGTTATGGGTTGATACTGGCAAGATAAAGTCACCATTATCCCAGCAGACCATAGGGCTGCTTTCTCATTACAGAGAGATGACTGGTGGTGGTTGAAACTGAGGGCCACCACGCCTCAGACAAGGGCAGAAGTTGAGAGGAAGAGTCTTCCATGGTAATCTAAGTTGGTGTGGGAATTGAATCCACACTGTTGGCATCACTCTGCACCACAAACCAGCCATCCAGCCAACTGAGCTAACATACCCCCTACATTGGTACTAACAGCATAGGTAGAAAGAGGACTGAGATCCTGCAACAAGAATTTAGGGAGCGAGCCAGCAGGCTGCAAAACAGGACCTTGAGGGTTATAATCTCTGATTACTTCTGATGCTACCTGCTTGGGAACAGGCAGACACAGCAGACAAATGTGTGGCTGTAGAACTGGTGCAGGAGGAAGGGCTTTAGATTCCTGGATCACTTGATTCATTTCTGGGGAAGGCAGAAGCTGTACAAGTCTGCTGGGTTGCACCTGGACTGAAGTGGGACCAACATCCTTGCAGGGGATGGGATACTGAATTCAAAATTGGTTGAGTGGCAGGAGGCACAAGGCAATGGTCAAAGGTTATTTTTGTCACTGGATCCCTGTGTCCAGTGGCGTACTATAGGGTTTGGTGTTGTGTTCTTTGCTGTTAGTTGTGTACGTTAAGTGATCTAGACATGAGTGTGAGAGGTTCAAATCAGCACATTTGCAGACGACACAAAAATCAATGCTGTGGTAAAAAGTGAGGAGGAAAGCCTTAGATTACAGCACAATACAAAGGAGCTAGTCAGATGGGGCAGAACAGCAGAAAATGAATGAAGGATTTATTTATTGTCACTTGTATTTCACAGTGAATTATACAGTAAAATACTGTGAAAAGCTTCAACAGTTGCCACAATCTGGCACCATTTTGAATAGTTTAAGAATAACAAGGACAAAAGATAAAACTGAAAGGGAGTCCTGAGCCAGCTCACCAATGAATTTAATCCGGAAAAACATAAAGTGGTGCATTTTGGGAAGCAGGGAAAGGGAGTACATGTTGAATAGTGAGTACAGAGGATCACTGGGACGTTGGTATTCATATCTATAGATCCTTGAGGACAGAGCAGGTGGATAAGGTGGTTAAGAAGATGTATGGGATACTTGGGTTCATTAGTCAAAGCAAGGATAAAAGAACAAGGAGGTTATGCTGGAATTGAATATAATGCTGGCTAGGCTACAGCTGAAGGAGAGTGTAGTTCTGGTCACCACACTATAGGGAAGGTGTGAGTGCAATAGAGTGCAGATGAGGTTCATCAGGACATCTACTGAGCTGGAGTAATTCAGCTGTAAAGGGAGAATAGATAGGCTGGGTTGTTATCCACAGAGCAGGCAGCTGAAGGTGGGACCTGATTGAGATATACAAAATTGAGAGGGACACAGATAGTGCAGATAAGATGAAACTTTTCCTGTTTGTAGGTTGGTGTAGGGGATCATTAAGTGTGGTGAGGGGTG